AGAGATTGTAAAAGTCGTTATAAATACTGAAATTCGAATTATTTTATTGTAAAAATAAAAAATAATGGATTCAGTTTAACACAAATGTGATTATTAAGTGATATTTCTTCCATCTCTTGTGCAACTGTGCATCACTTTTTGGCTACTGAAACAATAATAATTATTTTTTTTAATGTTTAACGTTAAATATCTTTTTAGTTATTGATTATAAACACCTAAAAGTAAATAATTTTAGAAAAACAATTTAATATCTTTTAAATGCAAAAACGATAAATAGGGTGTTCCATTTAATTTTTTTAAGTTATTGAACCTTTAACAAACGCCTTCATTTTTTTATCTTTGCAAATGCAACACACTAAAAAATGTTACACCTTATAGCTTGTACCTTCTTCTTTGCGGTGGTAAAAAAATATTTCTAGATGTCTTTGTTTCTGTATAATAAATTTTTAAAAAGTGCAAGGTTTTGTCAAAAAACCGTCTTTTTTTAAAACGAAGCAAAATCGATCAATAAAAGTTCAGCTTAAGAACATTGTTATAAAAATCTACATCTAAAAACGCTAAGAAATATATAGTGTTTCAATTAAAAAAACACAAGTTGGTATTGTAACTCATTTTTGAGACACGCTGTATAGTTGACTAGATTAGTATCTGTCTATCAATGTCCTATATATATTTTTTTAATTTTACCATTTAAAGATCACTAATAATTTTTCAACTCACTGGGACACCCTGTAAAATAGTTAATTATATCACCGGGAAATGCGAAATGTTATACAAGTGGTTTTTAGAAACGAGCATTTTTCTCGAGTTTTACTTAATTTGTGATTTTTGTTTAAATAGTTGTAAGACTTGTAAGTACAATTTAATGTCAGAAAGACAAAAATTAAAATAAAACGTAATTATACTTCTTCTAAATTAAATGTAATTGAAATTAGAGAATTTTTGTACTGAACTTGACATTTCTCCGATTTAGACCTATTGTTACTAATTTAAAAAGTTTCAAATTGTTATTAAATCTTCTTCAATGTCTCACTATTTTCTTATACATTTTTCATAATTTAAAATCACAAACTATTATCTGAAAATGTAGTCTACTTTTTAAATTTACGTCAAAAATAAGAAAGAAATGTTTTTTTCGCTACTGTTAGAGAAAGAACAGAAATGTGAAAAACAAGTTGCAAAATGAGCCTGTTTTTCACTAATCGTGTGCAATAAACAGACATTTTGCATCGTGTTTCATACAAGATTTTTGCCAATTTGGTTGTGAAAAACATAGGCATCAAATTCGAGTTTTAAATCTGTGATTTCAATAATTTTCTCAAAATCATACTAGTGTCTTGAAAATAGTGTTATTTTTAGCCTATTTTAGCATTAGTGATAAAATTAAGCACATTTGACAACTAAAATGACATATCACAACAGTAAGGTAACTTTTCGTGTCTACAATATAATTTTAGAAAGACAATTTAAAAATCTTTTAAATGCAAAAACAATATATTTAAATTTTTTTAAGTTATTGAACTTTTAACAAACGCTTTCATTTTTTTATCTTTGCAAATGCAACACACTAAAAAAAATGTTACAACCTTATAGCTTCTACCTTCTTCTTTGCGGTAGTAAAAAATATTTCTAGATGTCTTAGTTTTTGTGTAATAAATTTTAAAAAGTGCATGTTTTCGTCAAAAAAAACCGTCTTATTGACCAATAAAAGTTTTGCTTAAAAACATTTTCATAAAAATCTACACCCAAAAACGCCAAGAAACATATGGTGTTTCATTTAAAAAACACAAGTTTGTATTGTAACTTATTTTTGAGACACGCTGTATAGTTGGACTAAATTGGTATCTATCAATGTCCTATATATTTGTTTAAACTCGTTGGGACACCCTGTATAAATCAAGCTCTAAAATCTTAGCACGCGTTACAAACGGAATAATTTAACTCTGGTTGAAAGGGTAGAGTTTCAAAGAAAATTAAAATCGTAAAAGAGAACGCAATTCCCTAAAATACAGTAACAAAGTCTGATAACTCAATTTCGTGACTTCAGACATAACAATTTACTATTGCAACACTACGACTTAGAAACAAATATTTTGTACTTTACGATAAATAAAGGTAATTAAGACACACTTCACTACTTTATCTCTTTTTTCGTAGTCAACTAATTTGCTTCACAACTTGAAGGTAATTTATTAAAGCGATTAGAGACTCTGTAAATTTGCAAGTGCAACAAACTGAAGCTTTGATACTATGTTATTCTGACAAACGTTGACTCCTACATAAAGTAAATAGATGCTTATAATAGCAGAGCACATTTCCCGATTTTATTGTAATGCAAAGGATCTGGCAAAGTGGGTGGCAACGTTAAATTAATTACTATGCACTTGTACACAAAGACTTGCATTTGTATACTTGCCTTATCGATTTTTCCTTCCTTGTGTGCACCTCTTCACTAACCTAATTAAAATAAAAGCCATACCAAACGATTAGAACATAAATAAAAGAAGCTATGATAATGTTTACAGTCCCATAAACATAAATTGGAAAAATAGATTATTATTTGTTAAAATTGGAAAACAAATTATTGCTATACGAGTACTTTTATAAACTACTCCAAAAAATTAAAGGAACAAAAAATTTTTCAAAATTTCAAAATATTGAAGAACTGTAACTCATCGAAAAATGGTCGTATCTAGATTTTAAGAAAATCATTTTGAAGCACAGAAAAAGTATTTGCCAAAAGTTCTCAAAACTGGAAACTTAAAGCTTTAAAATGTTTTTTTGTTAATTTAGATACGACCATTTTTCGATGAGTTACAGCCTTTTAAAAATCATCAAATAGTTTAGGACATTTTTTTGTCCCTTTAATTTGTTGGAATAGTATAGAACAAAGAATGCGTTTAGTATAATAACGATATTTCGAAAATTAGAAAATACGTTCCTTAGATTTTTTGATAAGTTAGTTAAAAAAGGAGGATTTCTCAAAATTTACAGACAAAATTATGAGAATAGCACTTTTTAGACTATTTATAATATCGTAATACAAAAACTACGTCGTGTCTAAAAAATTGAATGTTGTTTTAAGACTGTTGTATTTTATTCGTTTTTGACTGTTAAATCTTTGACAGACCCTACTTTGAGACTTTGTTTTATTTGTATTTCCTCAAAAATTAAATATTTCGCACACTAAAAAGGTCTTCTCAACTTTTAGATATGTTAAAAGAGAACGCTTTTTCATATTTTGTTGGAAAAATTAAGAATCTTGGGTTTGTGACAATATGAGAAATGGTACTTTTTCAGACTCTATTTTACATGAATTTCCATAATAATAGGACCACCCTAACCACAATGCTAAATGGGCTACAGCCCATTTTGCGACAATTTTGCTTGCACTGAAGTCGATAACTCATACTCTAATTCGAAAAATTTATTCCATAAAAATTAAGATACCTAGAATTTTTTTTTGTTACTGCAAGGAAAAAAGTACAAACTTTAAATCATTTGTAAAAATAAAAAAAAAATAAAATTTGTTCAATACATTAAAAAAATTTAATGGAACATCCTACTTATTAATTCTGCATCTAAGATTTAACAATAATCTATTAGATGCAAAAACATAAAACATTAGGGTGTTCCATTTAAACTAAGGTTTTGAGAAAATTCTACATTAGTCATTTTTATTACTCATTTTTACAAATCCAATAAAAAATTGTCAGACCGTTAAAGTTTTTACTTTGTTCTTTGTAATAGTAAAAATTGTTTAAAAAAAAGTTTCTAGCTGTTTTATAGTTTTTGTGTTATAAATTTTTAAAAGAGTATGGTTTTCTCAAAAAAATAACTTATTTCAAAATCGATTAATAAAAGGTAAGCTTTTTAAAAACAAGCTGTAATAAAAAGATTCATCCAAAAATCCCAAAAACATGTTTTATTTAAAAAAAAGTTTGCGTTGTAACTTATTTCTGAGATACGCTGTATAGTTAAAATTAATTTCAGGCGAGACACTAGATTAGTATCTATCAATTTTTTAAAATGTAATAACTAAAGGTCCATAATGAACCTTACCAATTCGCTGGGACACCCTGTATGTGTATATAGGCTCTTTAATTTTTGCAAAAGCTTTCCCTTTTCTGGCTTTTCTTATGAGGGGCGCATTATTTTTAGTAGCCCAAGGGCACCCTGCTTAATAATGTTATTAAATCAAATAATATCTTTAAAACACCCAGCATTTTTTATAAATAATTTACTACATAATAAAATTGCTCCTTGTCGTAATGTTAAAAATTGTACTTTTTTCATCTTTTGATTTTTATGATTTTTTTGAAAAATTTTTAATTTTCGATATTTCAAAAACAAAAATACTTCCTTTCAATTTCTGGCACATTTTAAAAAAGGTCTTTTAATAACCTAGTAAAAAAAGAAATGCCACTAAAAGAATACTAATGAAAATAATAGCTCCCAATTATATAAAAATAAAAAACGTGTTAATAGTACATTGAAAAGTTTTCAGTAAAGCAATAATTGAAATAAACAGATAATGATCTTGGTAAGTGAGCGACAATTTCAAAGCGATTACCTGTCTTCTATTATGCAAAGGTAATATGCACCAATGACGACGATAAATGGTCAAAGTGAAACCACACCTAATTTAATGCACAAGAGTTATTTCATACGACATATCAAGAAGGGTGTAACCGCTGTTTTACTATTTTGGCGAAAATGTATAATTCATATGACATTTGACTTCATTTATCATAACGTGACTATATTAGTAAACTAAAATTATGGAAAATGGTTTCGTACGAGTCTGTCATCCACATTTGCAATGAAATGTAGAAACTACCCACTTTTATCTATAATAATATTCAACGACCGTCCCTACTAATATTATATGCTTTTGATGACATTGTAATATCATGCATTCACCACTCGCATTTCATTATTAAAAAAAAATACTTTGCCATCATAAGTTTTATGCAATTATAACATAACTTGTAACTCACCTTCTAAATTACTCCCAAGTGCAAAAGATGGAGGCAGAGCAAATGAATCCTCGCCGAATACTGTTGATAATAATGAATAGACGTAAACTGCTACAAACGTTGTTAATCTGGAACAACAAATAGAAACAAAACGTTATAAAACTTACAAAATCTCATAAACTCCTCAAATTTCCTAAGACATTTTCAGAATTTGTAGCAATATTTAGTATTTAATTACAGGTAATTGACATAGAATTCTTTGCAAGTATGTGGAATTACTAATTTCACTTATGGTAACTTATTATAGGAAATAAATTTAAATTTCATCTTTTACTACTAATTTGTAATCGCAAATCAATTTATTTTCCGTTTAAGCAAGTAAGAAAATTAATCCTTTATGTAGGATCTAAGACAAAATTGTCCTGAAATAAGTGATGCAAAATCCGAGAAGGAATTTTCGTAGTTTCCCAAATCTGGAAAGTGATCCATAATAAAGTTTTTAATTGTTTGAAACAAAAAGACATTTCAAAAATTCAGAAATCAAATATGGCGTTCATTAGAAAATCCAAAGTTGAGTGTTGTAACTCTTATATCAAGAGCGCCTTGGAAAATACGATGACAGATTTAGATTAAAAAAGTGCCTTCTAGTTAAAAACGTCTAGGCCTTTTAGTTTTCGTTTGAAAAAATATTACAAATTTCCGTTTTTTCCAATAATTCAAAAATTAGAAATGACATATCAAATTTTCTTTCAGATGATTGTTTAGCAAAAAAATGCGCAACTTTGCTCTAATTTAACCAACCGCGTATCTCTTATAATAACTGAGATCCCCATGGTAGAACACGAAAAACGAACACTCTGTATATCTCTAAAAGTGCATTTTCCGATTCGATTTTTTTCCACAAAACTTAAAGACTGTAAGTGATAAACACCAAGATATCAATGCTATGGAAAAAGGTATCAAAGAATATATGGGATTCGACAATGATGCAAAAGGAAGACTACAAAATTCTTGAAAATATTTTTTCGTTAAATTTGTGTGCAATTTATCACCTAGTGTCCCATTTTGTCCAGTTTAAAATCAGAAATGGATTAATACATTTTTTAGTTCACTCTATATCGTAATATAGTGATTACTAAGGCTCCGATTATATGCACGAAAAATCCGTAAAATATGTGCATATAAATGCACGTTTTCTCACAAAAATAGACACCAGATATTAAGAAATACACGTATGCTCCAATATGTGCCAAATATGCATCGATATGCAAACAAAAAATCAAAGTTTGGATAAATTTTTTGAAAAAAAAAATTGATGAATAATTACGTACTATAAAAATGTGATGTTTTATCAAGAACAAAATTTATCAAAATTTTCTTTTGTTTTAGAGTTCTACAATTTATTTTTTATTTTAATTTTTTAAAATGGAAACCTATTAAAAAAACATTTTTCTCATGAAGATTATGATCTAAGAATTACAACTATCTACTTTATATTAAATATAAAATTTATTTTTTACTTTTTTTACATACTTAAAATGCAATTTTGACAAAAACATCACATAACTCAAAAACCAAACAAAATTTCGTTCATTCATCCTGTATAAAACGAATTTAAAAAGGAAACATAGCGATGGAATAAAAGTTTCCCTTGACATAAGTTGCAATTTTCACAAACAAAATCGCATAACTCAAAAACAAAACAAAATGTCATTTACAGAATACAACCGCATTTTTTATTCTACTTTAATTTATGTTAATTGTGATTTTCTGGAGACAAATGATTAAAAAAAACCCGCTTGGTTCCATACTTTTTATTCACCTTGTATAAAACGAATTTAAAAAGAAAACACTCAGCAGGATATAATTTTTTGAGTCGGACTTAGAATTATCGGTTGTTTTCTATTTAACATATTTTGTAATCGAATCATTTTTCTTAAACTGTCCAATTTTTAACTTGAACTGAAATTTTTAATGGAAATTTGTGATTTGAAAAAAATGTGCACAAATATGCAATATTTTATAAAATATGCACCATCGTGCCAAAATATGCAAAATATGCATTTTTTAATTGGCTTATTTTAATCAAAAAAACGTTAGATATGCATAGAAAACTTACAATTTTGTTGATATACCTCTCTATTTGCATTTTGCATATAATCCGAGCCTTAGTGATTACTTTGACCACTCTAAAATATAGAAACAAAAATAACAAAAAAACTGTACTTGATGGAGAATTTTAGTGATCATTTTTCGATTTTCTGGACAAAATAAAATACAGGTATTTTATCAATGTTAGAAAAAAAATTGAAAAAATGTGGCCTAGTGTTTTTTTTTTTCATAGTTTAACGTTTCAACAACATGCAAATAGTACTGGTATTTAAGTTTGAATTTTTAAAATCTGTTAAAAAAATTAAAACAACTCATACTAGACACTATCATCTGGCAAACGTTTTGTAATATTTGAACAACAGTTGTCAGATGTGTCTTCTTCAAAAATATACCGCCAGCTATTCATGGTGATGATACGACTTGGAATCAGAATGCACGTGTGTGACACCAATTCTTGTAGTTCTTGTGTATACCTAATGCTACTATTATTGTTATAATCGATCTGTGAACCATGACAGAAATTCAGGATTCTTACATATCTGGGACTGAATAAGAATTAGCCCACCCACAACTATGTGGTGTTTGTGCTCTTGAAGTAGTATAGAATAACGAACACTACTGTATTTTTTATGGTTATTTGAAGTAGTCTTTTAAAAAGCTACTATTCAATTGGTACAAAAATTTGCGCTTTTAACTTTGTACCAAGTACACTGGTCGTCAAAATTAATCGGACAACTAAAATTTTGCGATTTTTCATAATGCAATATTTTTGTTATTCTTTGTCGGATTTCGACGAATTTTTGTTTAGCTTAAAGAAAACACTTTGTAGATTATTGTAATTTAATTCAATGATATTTCTAATTTTGTTTCTAAATGTGATACTCAAAAGACGAAGGCACTGTTTTGTTTATTTATTTTTATACTGCGGCATGGTGTGCGACAGAGACAAACTTAAATTTTTACTAATTGCAGATTATTGCCCATTTTTTTTTCTGAATTATGTACCACATTTTCCATAATTTTAATTCTTAAGACATGAAAGATATAAACCCTCAAAAAACGGCAAAATAGGCACATGGAAGCTTCCAATAATTAACCGTCTTACTTGTTGTAATCCTTTGAAGTTCCAAGTTTTTCAGATTTTTTGTGTTCAAAGACGTAATTGTGTTTTTTTGGTGACATAAGCACTAATTTTCGGTTTAACTACCTTTTTATGTAGCCCACTTTCTGAATGAATATTTAGTAACATTACAAAAACAACGTCTTTTTCAAGACAAACTAGAAATGTTACTGAATTAAATTACAATGTTCTGCAAAGTTCGTTCTTTAAGCCGAACAAAAATTCGCCGAAATCCGACAAAGAAAAACAAAAATATTGCAATGTAAAAAATCGAAAAATTATTATTAAGATTTTGCAATTATTAAAATAAATATTATTATAAATTATTATAATGTATAATATAGCTGGGCCTTGTTTGTATTTAATTGAGTTTTTATTTGAATTTTTTGAAAACAGACAAAATATTTGGCTGTCTTTCGATGGCCAGTTTCTTGCTTAAAGCACGTCAATATTCCAACAAGATGTTTTCTGCAAAAGTTATTTTTTGAAAAACTTTGTAACTTCAACAACCGGTTTAAGAAAGTTTTATTTGATAAGTTCCGTATCGGGTCATGATAACAATGTTAGAGCTTTTTATGATCTTTCTATATTTTGATTGAAGTGCTTCAATATGGAAATAGACATTGGTTCTTAAAACAAAAGTTTGATGCATTAAAATGCAATTTATTCATGTTGACGTGATTTGTACTTATAAACCATTTTAATAAATTGATCATATTTGTAATTTATTATTAATGAAAAGGTTGTACAACACATTTTGACCAAATTAGGAAACAATGAAAACTCCTTGAAAATTGTTGTTTACTGACATTGCAGTTTTATTTATTACTTTATAGTCAACAATTAGGATCTTATTAAAGACTAATACTGTAATTATGCGGAAAATGTTATCAAGGTCTGAAGTGATCGTATTGTTATAGTTTAGTATGGACGCTAAATTTCCTAGAAACAATCCGGTTACCGGATCAACATTAACTTCCACGAGATTATACACAAACTTAGCTAAATTCTCCATTAAATTATTATGCACAAGAAGTAATTGTCATCTAATCTGTTTACAACATAATGTTGTGATAGTTTGCACTTGACTTATCAGTTTGCTCCACTTGTGATTTTATAAATACGTTATTTTTTACTGTAGATAAGTTCTTAAAGAAAAATACAATTAAATCAGAAAACTATTACATTATTAACTATTGTAGAAAACCTAAAAATTTCAATTGTCAGAGATTTTAGTTCAACAAATTTAATAAAAGCTATTTTCAATCCTGACTAAACATAATTATAAGTTTTAAATAATCAATCGATGTCTCTCACTGAGTTTTCAAATATTAATAAATTTCAAAATCTGAAAATTCAGGTGTTTGCTTTCTTTTAATATTAAACTGTGACCATTACTCTCACTAATTATACAATGTCCCACCGAGTTGAAAAAGTCCATTAGTGACCTTTAAAATTTAAAAAACAATGTTTTTACAATAAAATTTTATTAGTCGATTTCGCTGAGTTTTAGAAATACGACGTTTTTTTTTAAGGAAAACATGCACTTTTCAAAAATTTATTACACAAAAACTAAGACATCTAGAAATATTACTACCGCAAAGAAGAAAGTACAGAACTTAAAGCTGAAGCAATTTTTGAGTGTTTTGCATTTGTAAAGATTAATAAATTAAGAAGTTTGTTAAAAGTTAGATAACTTAAAAAAAATAAATGGAACACTCTATTTTTTATTTTCGCATCTAATATTTAGATTGATATATTGTCCATTTAAAAAAATAAATTTTTAATGTCTAGAATTYATAAATHAAAAYATATTTAACATTCAATATTAATTGTAGTAACAAGTTAAATTTTTTAAGTTATTTATTTATCCAGAGATTGTAAAAGTCGTTATAAATACTGAAATTAAAATTATTTTATTGTAAAAATAAAGAGTAATGAATTCAGTTTAACACAAATGTGATTAATAAGTGATATTTCGTCCATCTTTTGTGCAACTGTGCACTTTTTGACTATTGAAACAATAGTAATTATTTTTTTTAATGTTTAACGTTAAATATCTTGTTAGTTATTGATTATAAACACCTAAAAGTAAAGAATTTTAGAAAGACAAATTAATAATCTTTTAAATGCAAAAACAATAAATAGGGTGTTCCATTTAATTTTTTTTAGTTATTGAATTTTAACAAACGCCTTTATTTTTTTATCTTTGCAAATGCAACACACTAAAAAAATGTTACAACCTTATAGCTTGTACCTCTTCTTTGCGGTAGTAAAAGAAATATCTCTAGATGTCTTAGTTTTTGTGTAATAAAAAAATAAAAAAAAGTGCATATGTTCGTCAAAAAACCGCCTTATTTTTAAAACTAAGAAAAATCGACCAATAAAAGTTTAGCTTAAAAACATTGTCATAAAAATCTACATCCAAAAACGCTAAGAAACATTTAGTGTTTCATTTAAAAAAAAACAAGTTTCTATTGTAACTTATTTTTGAGACATCCTGTATAGTTGAAAATAATTTTAGACGGTGGGCTAGTGTAGTTTATATCAATGTTCTATAATATATACAGGATGATGAAAAAAAGGCGCCCACGATTGAAACAGGCGCGTCCTTTTTTATTGAAACATTGTGACCATCATTCCAAAAATAGTCTAAATATATTCTTTTTAAAATTCAAACAGTTTGTCTAACAGCACAAAGCGGCAATATTGCACAATTTTCTTTTACTAAAAAACTATTTCACTCAGGTATTTTTTGTATCTAGGAAAGATATTGTCACCCGCATAAAATAAAAAACTGTAAAGTTTACATAATTTTATTATTCCAATACGATACGACCGAAAGGTATCTAATGATTTCAATTAATTTTTTTAATCTTTGACTTTTTGACTTTAATCGTTCAAATTTCACAGAACAAACAACATTGAAAATTGATTTTTTTGTTGCTACCGTTTCCAATAATTGAATATTACTTGGACATTTTCTGTATCCTAGGATATTTGCAATGTTGCAACATTGATAAATTTTCTTTGGAGCCAAGAAATGATATCCTAACATCTTCAATAAAGTTTATTTCAATAGACTTTTTACACTTTTTTTTTTTAAGAACACCGTCAACAGAATCAAAATTTAGACTTTAACAATGAAATTATTTTAAAACTGTTAATTATATAGATTTCTCTTTTCTAAAAAGGAAAGTCTATATCTTACTAATAAGGGCACAAATCCAATTTTGGTCTTCGAATTCGTCTTTAATAAAAGATCACTTATAACATGTGGGTTAACACGGGCGCCTTTTTTTCATCATGCTGTATTTTTAATTTTACCATTTAAAAGTCACTAGGGGACATTTTTAACTCGCTGGGACACCCTGTATTTGGTACAAATGGGCACTAATTATTTTGCATCTAACAGTTTATGTTTCACAAAGATCAGCAATTGAGCAAATTACTGGCTATATGCTGACAAGTATTTCAGCCAAGTGCATTTTATTAAAATTAACTCCCATTCAGACGTCTGGCATGCCAGCAGGTTGCACTCAACATGCTTTACATTAATTTAAGCTAATATAAAAATTTTAAATCTGAAAGCAGACTACTGCGCATATTTAATGCTATTATTATTAAAAAAGTAAAAATCTTGTTAGTTATTGTTACCTTAGTCGATCTGCTAGGGCCGTCCTATCTCTGAAACAAAAACGAGACATGAAAATTGTGTTAAAATTCGCGAAACAAATAACACTTGACAATGGCAACACTGATTTATGCCACTTTGACGTGAAAAATAAAATTTATGGATGAAACGGACCATGTGATGAAGCGCATCGCTAAGTGCACTGATGTTTCATAAAAAATTGGACTTTTCCCGTGATTTTCCAGTCAATTTGTCAAATTATATCCGTTTAAAAGCACAATAATTCAAATAAAAAGAATCCACAACACGAAGCTCATTTTTCTGTGATTTATTTTAAAGTACATGTTGTTTAAAATGATGATTTATGGACCAAAGTATTATATATTATGTCTTGATTCTTTGTACTTTTACGAACAAATGCAATTAAGCTGCTGAAAAATGACATAAAACTATGCCATAATCCTGGTCGAGTTTTGAAAAAATCTGATATTTGAAGTAAAGAAGAAAAACTCCTTTAAAACTAGATTCCTATAATTAAAAATAATTAATTAAAATCCTACATTGAACAATTAGCAAATAACTACTTTTCAAGTTTGTCAATAAATTATTACTATCATAAATGACAAATTGCCTCCACGACCTAATTCCGCATATCAGACATACATTTTCCATCCACGCTTCAAATTCCAGAAAGTTGATATGATTATTATTAATTATTAATTAAAAGTAAAATGATTTTTGATTTTTTTCTTTTCGCAATTTCAGGTAATAAATGATTCTTTAAATAACTTTCAACTTCTGTAAATAACGTTTTATTACTGAAAAATACTACAAAATAAAGAAATGATGCACTTTACGACCTTATCCAAACCTACACAGTGATAGAATATTTAAGTATTCATCTAAATCTAAAATCGAGATAAAGGAGACTTGTCAGACTTCACGTAAAAATTGCATAATTCCCCCAAAACGTTAAAGAGTCAAACAAGGAAAGTGAAATTTAAATCAATAGTTCAGATATTTATCTTTCAGAAAATCGTTTTCTTATGCATTTCCTATAAATTATTATCCGTTCGATCTATTAAAATGTTTAACAAACTGTCTAACTGTAAATTTTAGCAATTCTAATTTAAAAATTTAGAAAAAGGTAGGTATTGGGTGTTGGAATGAATGTTCATAAAGTTACGACAGTTTCACACATGATATGTGCATAATTTAATTCTATGTTGTTATTCGCAAAAGCAAATGCAACTAAATGGAATGAAGTCAAAATACGTGTTTGCACTGTGATATAATTTATCTGACACCGCATTAGGTTGGTAGACATAATTATCATATGACGTGTAATTTTTAACATTTTCATAATATCTACGATTTACACAAATCTACTTTAATTTTTAATTTTTTGAAATATGAAATTTGCAATTAGTAAGCCAGGGAGTCAATCTATTCTCACGTAATAGAAAATAATTTTTTATAATTAGCCAAACCAATTTACGAAGCTGGTTGGAATTCTCTTTTGAGTGCATGTTCATGCCAGAGTATTTCCTTGCACTTCTATCTATTCAACATAACTTTACAATTTTTAATTTCTTGTTCAATACTCAACACATGGCAGTCACGGCACTTTATTTATGTTCGTGACAAACTGTATTCCAATGAATGTCACCACAGTAAATTCTATTTAATGAAAATATCTAAAAGTATGACTAACTCTGCCGTGTCAGTAGTATTTCTTGAGGAAAAACGCTCTAAATCAAACTGAAAAAGAGGTAAATAATTTATTTCTGAATTAATTGTGTTTTTTTTTTTCTTCTTTTTGGTCTAATTTCCTAGATTTAATGTGTTTCTCGATTAAAAACGCTCCAAATCAAGGAAACAAGTAAAATCTCCGAATTTAATAATTTCCTAGTGATAAATCGATCAAAATTGGAAACAACAATACACTCTAGTCTAGACCTAATTTTGTAATGTTCTGCCTTGTTTTGGCAAAATCTCTAAAAATTTAGTGAGTTTCTCGATAAAAAACTCTAAATGCATCAAAACAGGTGAAAATAACGTATTCCACACTTATATTTTGCGATTTCTTAGCTTGTTTTCGTAAAATCTCTTAGTTAGAGTGTGACTCTCAGTGAAAAACACTTTTAATCAAGCAAAACTGGTGAAAATAACTCATCTAACACTTGTAACTTTAAAAAAATCATTTAAAAAATTTGTCAGTTTCTTGGTGAAAAACGCTCGAAATCAGGGAAACAAGTAAAAATTTTCGAATTTTGTTCCTGGCTCTAAATCAAACAAAATTTGAAACAACCTACATTTCAAGTCTATTTTTGCGATTTTATGGCTTGTTTTAGTAAAATCTCTCAAATTCATTGAGTTTCTCCATGAAAAACTTTAAATGCATTACACACTTTTTTGCAATTTTTTTCTTGTTCTCGTAAATCTATTGGTTATAGTGTAATTCTCAGTGAAAAACAGTCTTAAATAAGCAAAAATAATTCATTTTAGGCATACAACGATATTCTCCTTTTTTTTTAATCTTTAAAATTTAGTGAGTTTCTCGGTGAAAAACACTCAAAAAACAGACAAAAATAACGCCTTTTAGACAGACTGTTTTGCTATGTTTTGTAGAATCTCTCTTTACTTACTTTCTAAGTGAAAAACTCGAAATCCATTACAATAAACAGAATTTTTCAATTTCTTACCTGGTTTTGACAAAATCTTTCGAATTTGTTGAGTTTCTAGATATAAAAACGTTTTCCAATATAACCTAACATAATTGTTTGTATTACTAGGGTGGAATGAGTATCTTCTCCTCTTGATAACTCAGTTTTGATTATAAATCTAGCAGCATGTTTTTCTGTTTCTATCGGGGAGGTAAAATTTTTATTTGCAATATTGCATTAATTTTTGTTGTAATTTTGACAGATGAAAAAAGAAAAAATTTTTTTTTAAAGTAATTGGCCACTTTTATTCTAAAATTAGGGTAGAAAAACATATTTTCTGTTAGAGTCGAAGGAAAATAAATTTAGATTTTTCCGTCATCAAAATATTTACCCTTTAAAAGTTTTTTAAAATTATTTGTGAGTATATGGGAGTAAAAAATTACAAGTATTTTTCAAAAACTATGACGAAACGGTGTTAATTCAAGCAAAAAAATTTTACACGACTGTTAAACCTAAAATAAATTCTGATTACGATTTCCTAAAACCCGAAACTGAAAAACAAATTCAAAATTGAAATACAGGCACACAATTTCTGTGCTTGGAACCAGACTTGCGTTATTCAAAATCTCATAGTCACATATTGCACCATTTATTTATTGTAAGAGAATTTTTGTGAGAAATTTCTTATCATATATTCGAGTAAATTGTGCTTAGATGCACGTAAAATTGAAGAAGCGTAAAACGGTAGATATTCTCTATGCAAATAGGAAAAACGCATAACTTACGAAAAATGTGCTTGAAAGATTGGATTCTAAACCTTGCAATTGTCACACAATTTATGTTTCAGTTTACTTATTAATTATTAAAAAATATGCGAGATTGTTCACACGAGCAAATTTAATTCCAAATATACAGGATGTCCCAACGAGTGGAAAAAGTCCATTAGTGACCTTTAAATGGTGAAATTTTAAAAAAAATTACATTTAATTCTATAGAGGACATGGCCTAAAATTATTTTCAACTATACAGCGTGTCTCAAAAATAAGTTACAATACAAACTTGTGTTTTTTTAAATGAAACACCTAAGAAACACATGTTTCTTAGCGTTTTTGGATGTAGATTTTTGTGACAATGTTTTTAAGCTAAACTTTTATTGATCGATTTTGCTTAGTTTTAAAAATAAGACGTTTTTTTGATGAAAACATGCACTTTTTTGAAAATTATTGCACAAAAATTAAGACATCTAGAATTATTTTTTTTACTACCGCAAAGAAGAAGGTACAAGCTATAAGGTTGTAACATTTTTTTAGTGTGTTGCTTTTGCAAAGATAAAAAATGAAGGCGTTTGCTAAAAGTTCAATAACTTAATAAAATTAAATGGAACACCCTATTTATTGTTTTTTCATTTAAAAGATTATTAAATTGTCTTTCTAAAATTATTTACTTTTAGGTGTTTATAATCAATAAAAAAGATATTTAAAAATAATTACTATTGTTTCAGTAGCCAAAAAGTGATGCACAGTTGCACAAGAGATGGAAGAAATATCACTTAATAATCACATTTGTGTTAAACTGAATACATTATTTTTATTTTTACAATAAAATAATTCAAATTTCAGTATTTATAACGACTTTTACAATCTCTGGATAAATCAACAGAGAAGTGATCTGTGGTGGAATTACTTTGCTTCCCATAGTATCAAAAATGCTCAGATAATGATAAGCATTGTTGCTACAATTAATATTGAATGTAAAATATCTTTTCATTTATCAAATCTAGACATTAAAAGTTTATTTTTAGACAGACAATTTATCAATCTATTAGATGCAAAAATAAAAAAATAGGGTGTTCCATTTAATTTTTTTAAGTTATTTAACTTTTAACAAACTTCTTAATTTATTAACCTTTAGAAATGCAAAACACTAAAAATTGCTACAGCTTTAAATTCGGTACTTTCTTCTTTGCCAAAGTAAGAAAAAATTTGTTGTAACTATCTTAGTTTTTGTGTAATAAATATTTAAAAAGTGCATGATTTCGTCAAAAAAAAACGTCTTATTTCTAAAACTAAGCAAAATCAACTGATAAAAACATTGTTTTAAAAGGCTACATCCAAAAATGCAACGAAACATACGGTATTTCATTTAAAGAACACAAGTGTGTATTGTAACTTATTTTTGAGACATGCTGTATGGTTAAAAATAATTTTAGGTGATGCACTAGATTAGTATCTATCAAATTTTTTTAAATTTCACCATTTAAAGGTCACTAATGGACTTTTTCAACTCGCTGGAACACCCTGTATCTACTCGTAAACAGGAGGCGTTTATTAAGCTCAAGGCCCCCATGTATTGGAGAAATATAAAATTTCAAAGATCATATAAGGTAG